TGAAAGCTTTTCTGCCAAATCATTACCGTGACAAGTGCACACCGATTGGCCAGCCCGAATTCGAAACAATTGATGGGTGTCGTCAATTGTTTCACTTCAAGGCTTTGCTATAATGGACGAAAATTGCAAAATTACATATTTAATATTTAATTACCGATGAAATGTGATTCAGTTTGTTTTGTGATTATATCGCACTGTGAAAAAATACACTTTTTGAGTTAATAAACTATTGTATTATAGTTTATTAACTCAAAAAGTGTACTTTTTCAGAATCGATAAAAAACAAATTTTTCACTTCCAGCGAAATATTATTAAAATGTATGTATAGGATAAATTTTATTACAGACATCTAAATAATTCCCTACTTGCCAAATAAAAGGAAAAAACAACTTAATATTTCTTAGAAATTTATTTATTAAGACTGTTTTATCCAGAACTAGTTCGCAAAAAGTTTGTCTCATTTTGAGTTAAATTGTTTCTGACAATATTTTGACGAAGGTTTTATTGACGTGTAGAGAATCAAATATTACGTTCAGCAATAGTATAACCTTGAATTTCACATATTTTGAGTTACAACACTATTGTAGTAGCAGTGCGATATGTTTTGCTGTTTTTCCCATATCATCGAATGGAACAGCCCCCATTGGTAGAGATATTACTATGTTTATTACAGCATATTTTTGGAATATACGGAAACGTACACACAGGTCAGTTGTTGGCGCTGTACTATTTCAGTTTTCTAATTTGTGATTGTAGCGCAAACCAGAGATGATATTGAAAAGTGTTAGAGGCCCATTTACTCGATGAATTGCCAGTGATGGCTAGCCCTTATTTCGTCTCTATTTCTGTTTATATACTCGACGACAACCAATAATTACCAAGATTTAATACTATCATTGTGTGAGTTTTAGCGAAAGCGGTTCTGACAGTAATCGAGGAGACAAGGCACCTCCATGGTTTTTTTTCTTCCGTGATAATTATCTTGATTATGCTCTTTATTTTACTCTGTCTACACCGGGGCACGATGGTCTACAGGTGGGCTCTGAAAAAGAAAAACCATGGTTATCTATTAACTAATTCAGGTGTTACTTTGCGGAAATCCATTTTAATAAAATTGTTACATCGTGAAGATTAAATTGGGCAAAATAACCGCGCTTGTATTGTATTTACCTTTACAGCTACCATGATGTCGCTTCATTAATTGCAATGTTTACTGAGTATCATGATATTTTTACTACAATGATATACATATTAACTTGGTCATTCACTGCGGGAGAACTCCACGGGCGTGGAACAGGAGTATTGTAGTTCTCTTCTTTAAAAAGGGAGATAAAACTCTACTGAAAAACTACCGACCCATCTCACTCCTGAGTCACGTCTACAAACTGTTTTCTAGAGTCATCACGAATCGCCTCGCAAGAAGACTCGACGAGTTTCAGCCACCGGAACAGGCCGGGTTTCGGGGAGGATATGGCACCACATACACACAGTGAGGCAGATTATACAGAAGTCCGAAGAGTATAATCGGCCCCTGTGTTTAGCTTTCGTGGACTATGAGAAGGCCTTTGACTCTGTCGAAACCTGGGCTGTCCTGGAATCCTTACAGCGGTGCCAAGTGGACTATCATTATATACAAGTGTTGAGATGTCTTTACGATGCTGCTACCATGAGTGTCCAAGTACAGGACCAGCAGTCTGAACCTATCCAATTACGCAGAGGGGTGAGACAGGGGGATGTCATATCTCCGAAACTGTTCACCGCTGCATTGGAGGATATGTTTAAGACGCTGGACTGGAAAAGGATGGGCATTAACATAAACGGCGAGTACATCTCACACTTGCGATTTGCAGATGACATAGTCCTAATGGCAGAATCGCTGGAGGAACTGGATCAGATGCTGAACAGCCTAGCATCCGCCTCGCGGCGGATTGGTCTCGGCATGAACTTTGATAAAACCAAAGTCATTATCAATGACCACATTGATCCGAGACCCATCTGCGTCAATGGCCACCTTCTTGAAGTTGTTTCCGAATACACTTACCTCGGGCAGATTCTGCAGTTAGGTAGAAATAACTTCGAGAAGGAGGCCAGGAGGAGGATTCAGCTTGGCTGGGCAGCGTTTGGGAAGCTACGTCGAGTCTTTTCGTCACCCATCCCGCAGAGCTTAAAAACAAAGGTTTTCAACCAGTGCGTCCTACCAGTTCTAACGTACGGAGCTGAGTCGTGGACACTCACGATACGGCTAGTCCACCAGTTTAAAGTCGCTCAGCGAGCTATGGAACGAGCTATGCTCGGAGTTTCTCTGAAAGATAAACTCCGTAATGAGGTTATCAGACAGAGAACCAAAGTGATCGACATAGCTCTTCGGATAAGCAAGCTGAAGTGGCAGTGGGCTGGACATATCTGCCGAAGAACCGACAACCGCTGGGGTAAACGAGTTCTTGAGTGGAGACCACGACTTGGCAAACGTAGTGTGGGACGCCCTCCAGCCAGATGGAGTGACGATCTGCGGAAGATTGCTGGCAGGAAATGGATGCGTCAAGCCGAGAACAGGGCGAAATGGCGTGCATTAGGGGAGGCCTATGTCCAGCAGTGGACTGCAATAGGCTGATGATGATGATGATGATATACATATCGCATACTGAGAATGACAAGTGACAAAATGCAAAAGAAAGATGGCGAAAGCTGCCCCATTAACGACGAAGAGCCGTTTATGGACTTTGCTAGTATAATTTTGCGTTTTAGTTTATGCCTAGTTATAAATATATTTTTGTGTATTTTTAGAAGTCGGGAATAAAAACATTGTAAAACATTGTATTTTAGAATAGATGTAAGAACACAACGCAATTGATTCAGTTCGTTCATAGATTATGTAACGTACAAGAACGTTACACTACGTTTCATTTTAAGTATGATTCAATATTTACCTACCTGAAGTATTGGTTATTTTATAGTACACACATAAAACATTAAAGCTATAAAATCGACTCATCCGAAGAACAGGGTCCGATGTGATTATATAGCGAAAAGAGAATAAGTACGTAACGAGAATAATTTTCTTACTCAAACTAAGGCCTACGTTAAGGTGTTTGGAGAATTTATATATCTTATTTCATTCCGAAACGGCCGATCTGATATCCATAGCGAAGAAGAACGAACGGCATGTACTCTGTCCTGAGAACAAGTAGTCTTGCACATACATATTTGTTCTACGGATGAGTCGAAATACATAATTAAATAATCAATTAAACTGTAATGATATAAAGCAAAAAATAAAACACAATGTGACAAAAATATTTAGACAATATTTCACATGAGAGATAATGAAAGTTGCAAAGGAACGTTTTCACAAGAAACCTTTTGCCAATGTCAATGTCATATTGAAATTGAGACAGTGTGACCATTTGTGGCAGATTTCTGCCATTTGGGCAAATTTAATTTTTATTTATTGTCATTGCTGCAGAACATGATAAGTTATATTAAATGTGGCAGAGTTATTAGTTTTGGGAACAAACTGAAAACTTATTGTTTTCTGCTACTACGAACAAACATCTGAAGCGAAATACAAGACGATGTTATAAACATAACCGATATCAACTTTATGACCCCAGCTTCTACAGGCTGTTCTCAATTAGTTTTTTTTGATGCTTTCATAATGAATCGCAAGTACTCATAGGTCTCCTTAATGCACGTCGTCAAAAACAATGGGTCACAAAATACACGGCATGTCGCCATACATCCGTTTGAGTAATGAGCAGTTAAAATTTTGTGATAACTGATAATTTCCTACTAAACGAAGATTTTTCAATGCGGTTAGTCAGCATGTTTGTGGTCTGTGCGGTTTTTAAAAATAAAAGGGAACGTACATAGTTTTAAAAGTATAATAAAAAATTTCCCTTCGGCCGCGTACGTCATTGATAAGAGGCGTCTTGTCAAAACGTTTCTTTGCTAACTTTCTTATCACTCATATAAATATTGTCTAAGCATTTCTATCACATTATGTTTTATTTTATATTTTGTGTCATTACTGTTTAAATGATTATTTGATTAGGTTTTGATCATAACTTTAGTGTTTTATGTGTGTAGATAAAGTAACTAATACTTTAGGTACGTAAACATTCCATCATGCTTAAAATTAAACGTACGTACAAGAACGTTACCTAATCTATGGTCGAACTGAATTAATTGCGTTGTGTTCTTGCATTTATTTTAAAATAAGTACATTGTTTTAAAATTTCTTTATTCCCGACTTCTAAAAATATATTGACAACTAGGCATGTAAAGGAGGGAGGTTCTTTCTTCCGTTGGATGAGGTTACCAAAACAAGCCAAGTGAAACTTCAAATGGTTCTTATTTTCACCTTGTATTTCGCCAATACAATTTCACCCTATGTGCGGAACGTCCGGGCAGTTGTTCCCAGAAGGGACTCGACTCCTGGAAACCGTTCCGCGAGATGAGGTTTTTCACCCTATATGAGAGTACGAAATATCAGAAGATCCGGGTAGCAGTTCCCAAGAAGGGACTCAATTCCTGGTTGCCTTACTGAGCTCTCTGTATTCTCAGATTTCTCTTTCCATTAACAAAATTGTGTTCGAGTAGTCACCATTCGAGAGAAAATCTTAACACCGTGATTCAGAAATAACGCCAAATGGGTCAATGCCATCTAGCGGATTCTTAGAGAACTTAAAGTGAACAATATGGCTTAAGGCCGTCTATTACATAAAGTGGGTTTGCTACAGGCATAAAATAATACGTAAAATCATATTATCAAAGTCCAAGAACCGCTCTTCGTTGATTTTATAATTGTTGGATCGTTTTCGCCATCCTTCTCTGTATTCAAACTTAAATATTAAATTTCAATTCAAATACATTGCATTCTTGAACGTAATTAGTTAATATACCTAATTTGTCCGGACTGTTATTGACGAACAGCTCAGCTGAGGGGTTTCTAATGTCTTGAAGTAAAACTCCTGCTTCATGTATATATTTTGTAATGGCGTAGCTTTTCGGTACAATACAAATTGTGTAAAAAAAATAATATAAATAACAACGGCGTGGTGAACAGTTACGGAGTGCTGGTACGCGGAGAAGTGCTGGTACGCGGAGGAGTGCTGGTACGCGGAGAAGTGCTGGTGCGTGGAGGAGTGCTGGCACGCGGAGGAGCTGGGCAGTGCGGAAGTGTCCTGCTTCTGCCGGTGCAAAGTGACGCATCTGCGTTAACACCATTAATCATATTATTGTTTTTATAATGGGTTGAGTTCTGCATAAATGAGTTAACCCACAAAATGATAGTTTCCGAGATATTGAACATTAAAGATTTTTGGCAACTTTTTGTTATTTTAATAATGAATTTTAGAGGACAATTACATACCAAAATATTTGTAATGGCGTAAGCATTGCAATTAGTTTATTATTTTTTTTGGTTATCAAACTTACGATTAGTAATTAAATAAAAAAAAAATAATTATTTTATGTGTCAAGGGTGGTTAACACATTCTTGCAAAATACAGAAAAATACGTATAAAGTATCACTTAATCCTTGCAAACACTGAGAAATCACATTTTCATAGTGACCATGTGTCAAACCACAGTCTTTTTCTTAGTCGTTATCTTCATTGCTGAATGTAGTGTCCCCGAATGATTTTCGAGACTTTATGGACGATTTTCTTCCATCTGGTTCTGTCTTCGGCCTCTTTCAGGGCAGTTGTTATAGAGAGGCCGGTGAGGGCGGTCACTTGGTCACTCCATCGGCTAGGCGTTCGACCGCGGAGTCTCTTTCCCTCCACCCTACCTACGACAACCAGTTTGTCAAGGTTGTCTGGTTATCGGAAACCAACATGACCAAAATACTGTAGGATCTCTGGTAGCATATTGTGGAAAAATCCGTCAGCGATATTAAGCTGCTCAATTATAGATTGGTTTGTCCTTCTAGCGGTCCACGGTATACGGAGCACATCCTTCTCAACACCACATCTCGAAAGCGTCTATTTTTTTCCGTTCTGATGCCCGGATCGTCCACGACTCTGAGCTATACAGAAAAATCGATAAAACCAATGTCCGGGCTAGTCTCGATTTGGTAACTTGGAGACATTTCTGCTACGCCAAATGCGCGTTAGCCTGCTCATAGCAGCTTTGGCTATTTGAATCCTTCTCTTGACCTCACGTTAACTTCCACCCTGGTTGGTAAGTAAAGATCCGAAGTATACTAAGTCGCTAACAAATTCAAGCTCTGAGAATTCTCCAGTCCTAGAGAGTTGTCTGGTCCTGACGACGGTCACGACTTTTGTCTTTGACATGTTGATGGTGTTAACCAATGCCAACCAGTCCACGGTCATATTCAACTATATGGAAAATTTCAGCAAGTTCCTTCTCTGCAGACGCAAACAGTGTAGTGTCATTTGCATACCACAGGTTGCTTATCTTAACACCACCAACAGAAACTCCTCCCTCCCAACCTTCTAAGTCTTTCCTAATTACGTATTCATCACATATATTAAAGAGGATGGGAAACAGAGTACATCCTTAGCGAACTCCTTTTAGTGGCTTGAAACGACCAGAGATGATGTCGTTTACTCTTACCATGGACACAGCGTCCAGATTCGCGATCAGAACTATAAGGTGTTGAGGTGCACCCATCTCGTGCAGTATATTCCACATACAATCTCATTTCACACAATCAAACGCCTTCGTGTAATCGACGTAAACCAAGTAACAGCAATTTCATTTTTGTCAGCCAATGTGTTTTGTTTTCAATAATCAATCACCCTTTTTCTTTGACCAGTTAAATCTTAATAATCCGAATAAACAGATGCTGAGTTCAGACTCGATTTTTATTAACGATTGTGCACGTACACCATCGGGTGTGGACGAAAGGAGCACGACTGACGTACCATTTATTTATTCATTTGTTGCACTGTCACACTTATATTAAGTACAATGGCTTGAAAATGTACTTGTGACACCCAGTAAGGGCACAGCAAAGTGATGAGGACACTTACTCATTGCAAAAGTAATAAAAAAAAAAATTGTGATCACATTAAATAAAACATTACAATTATACATGCATAAGATAAATTGAGAACAAACAATTATATAATAAATTATATTTTGTCATTGAAAAATTCTTTAAGATTATAGTAACTTTTGCTTATGAGGAATTCTTTTAAATGTTTGGAGAAACTTTCTAATTCTTGAATTTTTTTTATGTAAATTAATATGTGATTGTAAATTTTGGACTCTGGACTATATAGATATAAGATTTTCTGTGGATTAATTCATTTGTGCAGAACAGAGTCCAATTATTATTATACATTACTATTCTTATTACATCATATTTATATGTTGAAATAAATTATATTTTTCCATTTTAACCAAGTACAATATCGACTGTGAACTGGCAACCGGTACCATCTCAATTTTGACAACTTTACAGGATGAAGAAAAAATCATTTACATAGCATCTGGTTTATTATATAAAAATATACGAAGAGTGCATACACACATGTGTAATAAAAATATTTAAAAACTACGTATTTTTATTTAATAAACCAGATGCTATGTAAATGACGCAAACAATTTTTTTCTTCACCTGTAAAGTTGTCAAAATTGAGATAGTACCGATTGCCAGTTCACAGTCGATATTACATTTATACATATATATAATATAAATGAATTAGTCTATTGTTGATTCCATTAAACACTGAGTTTAAATTGCATTTTTTTTTTCATGGCAGGCAGATGACTCCACTCCACCTGATGTTAAATGGAAAGTGGAATCCAAACGCGAAGGTACCTATACTCTAGCCAAATTCGATGTAGAATAACTGTCAACAAACAAAAACATATGACTTTTAGGGTTTTCATCTTAGACTCTTTCACAGTTACCACAATTTCAATATTTTCCTCCGAAATTCAACTAGGTTATGGATAATACTGAATCTTGAAGCCTTGTTTATAATTAATATTATTAACAGAAGTTTCTAATCACCTAAAAATGACCAGTAGTTCAATATTTGCAAAACTGTATCATCTCTAGTGACTTTTTGATTTGAAGGGAGAGATTGCAAACATTCGAGTTCCGGTGGTAATTCAAGTTCAGAATCGGAAATAGACGCTGGATGTTATAATATGTAGTAAATTAACTTCAAATAAAACCTTATAGTTTTATATCTTTTCATCTACCATCTATCAGTAAGTAGGATGCAAAAAATTATTCGTAAATCACACGTATCAATAAGTATTTTGTAAACTTTATAATAATTGGCTAGGTAAATATTACTTCTACATAACCCAATTACCTACTTACCTATTTAAATTCCAATTACGAGAGCAGGCCATGGGCAGAGCAAGCCTTTACAATGAGCATTGAAAAAAATGTTATCTTCCTATGCCATCATTGGTTGCGTAGCAACGTTTTGTTATTAAACATTCTACATCTAATTTGGCTAGAGTATAGTGCATGATATCACTGCCCTAGCCACCTCCACCTTGCATGCCTACAAGGCGCCTCACGCCTCGTGTGAAGGGCCCCATATAGGCAGGAGGGAATACGTGCGCTGGAAGGGAGTCCCGTTGTCGCCATCCTTCTTTAATGATATTATTACAAAATGTTTATTGTTTTCTGATCTAGACGATTCAATTTGTTTTTCTATTGAATCAATTCGCTTGATAAAGATTTAAAAAATCGTTAGATCGTATGCACTTGAATCGATCTTCATTATTAATCGAAACGTAATGTGCATCTTTAGTAGTGAGTATTCACAGGATTGCAAGGAGGGTATTTTGAGGAGCTGCTGATCATTTCGTCTTAAAAAATTTTTTGTTGCTCTAAACGTGGTATTTTTCGTACTACTTATTGTGCCGAAAGTTGTTTTTCGCACTAATGCTTTTGTTTAATTTACTGTTGTTCCAAGTCTTAAACAAGAACTAAAGAGGTCGTATATATTTATTTAATATTTATGTGCTTTGTGACGCAAGTCATTCGTCATTAAAACTTATATTTACTTACAAACATCTTATTTGTTTAAATTGCATAGGCGTTTTATAAAACAACGGGTTACATTTAAAAATACCATAATATTTTCCATAAAGATGGCTGATTGAGAATTAACAACGACCGGAGGTGAGTATCACGCGAGACCGCTGCGCGCCGCGCCTCTAAAATATACTGTTTTATTTTACTTTCAATGTAGTTTTTACGCAAATGTATTGAAAAATGTCGTTTGATACACGTGCGGATTTGTCATTTTCACTTGTCCGAAGCCTCGAGTCTCGTGAATAATGACTAACTTTCGCACTTGTATCAAAAATAACTGTTTCCGTCGAAAATTGTAATAAGTATGACATCGAGTATATAGCCAGAAATAGAGACGAAATGTCATTTGTTTGAAAACTATTCTGCCAAATCACTACGGTGACAACTGCGCTCCGATTGGCCAGTCCAAATTGGAAATTATTAACGGGTGTCGTCAATTGTTTCACTTCAAACCGACCAGTTTAACTTGAGCTTTGCTATAATGGACGAAAGTTGAAAAATTACATGTTTAATAATAATTTAATATTTAATTACCGATGGAATGTGATTCCGTTTGTTTTATAATTATATGTTTTGCTGTTTTTCCCACACCACCGAATGGAACACAGTAGAGATTATCTTTATTTTTGGAATATACGGGTCAGTTAATAATAAATAAATAACGCACACACTCAACGTAGCCCCGCACTAGGGAAACCCTGTGTCGCGGGTGTCATGGACACACACATAGACAACCACAAATTACACCCAAACTCACGAGAGAAATAATTATAGGCCATACAAATATTTCTCCCGGCCCGGGAATCGAACCTGGGACCTCTGCGTGGCAGTCCGGCATGGTAACGGTTCGGCCACGGAGGCAGTTAGTTAGTTAGTTGTTGGCGCTATACTATTTCAGCTTTCCAATTTGTGATTTTAGTGTAAACGAGAGTTTATATTTAAAAGTGATATAAGGCCATTTGCCTAATGAGTTGTCAGGGACAGATAGCCCTTATTTCGTCTCTACTTCTGGTTATATACTCGATGGTAAATACCAATGGTGTGGTGAGGTTTTTCAAAAATCTCTCACTAGATATTATTAATCATCATCATCATGTCAGCCGGAAGACGTCCGCTGCTGAACATAGGCCTCCCCCAAAGATTTCCAGACCAGCCGATCGAACGCGACGAGAATCCATCGGTTACCCGCCGCCCTTACCAGGTCAACCGTCCATCTAGCAGGGGGCTGTCCCACTGAACGCCTTCCGGTTCGTGATCTCCATTCAAGAACCTTTCTACCCCAACTGCCGTCAGTTCTACGAGCTATGTGCCCTGCCCACTGCTACTTCAACTTGCTGATCCTTCGAGCTATGTCGGAGACTTTGGTTCTTCTACGGATCTCCTCATTTGTGATTCCATCACGTAGAGAAATGCCGTGCATTGCGCGCTCCATAGCTCGTTGAGTGACTTTGAGCTGTTTTATGAGGCCCATAGTAAGTGACCACGTCTCAGAGCCGTAGGTCATCGCTGGCAATACGCACTGCTCGAAGACTTGTCTTCAAGGACTGCGGACGAGAAGATGTCTTGAAGCTTCCCGAAAGCTACTCAACCGAATCGGATTCGACGATTGATTGATTGACATTCGACATAAGTTTCGTCTTGTCTATGTTCATTTTTAGACCCACCTGCTGGGAAACTTTATTGCGGTCACGGAGCATGGCGCCAAGCTCTTCCAACGATTCTGCCATAACCACGATATCGTCTGCAAATCGAAGGTGAGTGATGTACTCGCCATTGGTGTTGATGCAGAGTCCTTTCCAGTTCAGTAACTTGAAGGCGTCTTCCAATGCAGTGGTGAACAGTTTCGGAGAAATGACGTCTCCCTGTCGCACCCCTCTTTGCAATTGGATGGGCCTTGTGCACTAATTTTGGAGTTGAACTGACATAGTGGCGTTTCTGTACAAACACTTTAACACTTCGATATATCGATAGTCCATGTGGCACCGTTGTAGAGACTGTAGCACCACCCAAATCTCGATCGAATGAAAGGCTTTCTTATAGTCCACAAACGCTAAGCATAATGGCAGGGTATACTCCTCGGTCTTCTGTATAACCTGCCGCGGCGTGTGGATGTGGTCTATGGTACTGAAGCCCTTTTGGAAACCGGCTTGTTCGGGGGGCTAGAAGTCATCGAATCTGCGCGCAAGACGGTTCGTGATGACTCGTGACAACAGCTTATAAACGTGGTGAAGAGAGATGGACCCGTAATTCTTCAATAGGGTGTTATCTTCCTTTTTGAAGAAGGTATTACCACGCTTCTATTCCACTAGATGTCATTAGCGGCGACAAAAGCCGGAAGTCAGTATAACGATCTATAACAAAATACACATAGGACAATTTCGACAGCTCGGTAACTTGACCTGTTGCTCCGTTGGTAAGAGCAATGCTACGGTGCAGCATGGTCGTGGGTTTATGTCCTAACAGGTCGATTAAATTTTTCTATCTGTATTAACAAATAAACAAATACGAAATTCTATATTCGCCGTTTCCGCCCACGATATTGAGCAGAAATGGGCTAAAACCCGCACGTTGAGTATAAATACGGTTAAAACGGCGGATAGATTGAGTTTTAACCCACTGCCCATCTCTGTTCGGCACGAAATGCTTGATGACGATAGACGCAAGTGCGGCCCCAGCATTAGGCTAGGTACGTAGATCAGGTACACAGGAAGATTGTTAGAAAAGATCTTTTTGAATTTGTAAAAAGCGAACGTCCAAATACAAACTCCGAAGATAAAAATTTTTAGGCACAACCTGCTCTATAGGTGTATATTAATTTATAATAAAATACCAGATTCCCTTCAGACGGAAGAAAATGACAATTCATTCAAAACGAAATTAAAGTATCTTCTGGTAAATGGGTGCTACTACACGCACACACGCACACACTCAACATAGCCACGCACTAGGGAAACCCTGTGTCGCGAGTGCCATGGACACACACATAGACAACCACAAATTACACCCAAACTCACGAGAGAAATAAATGTAAGCCATACAAACATTTCTCTCGGCCCGGGAATCGAACCTGGGACCTCTGCATGGCAGTCCGGTATAGTAACCTTTCGGCCACGGAGGCAGTTACTACAGTGCGAGAGACTACATGGACTCTCCTATAAGATGACGTAAAAGAAGTGATAAACGCTTCATCATATCGTCATCATCGCTCTTTCATAACGTAATGTGTCTATTTTAATAAAGAATCTTCAGTTTATTTTGTTTTTTTGTTAATTATTCGAGAGTACTATTATTAATTTGCTACACCACAATGGGGTATGTCTGTACTTAGTAATTACCTGTGTAATGCCTGCACTAACATTGTTTGCAATCATCGAGTATATAACCAGAAATAGAGACGAAATAAGGGCCATCCATCCCTGGCAACTGATAAGGCAAATGGGCCTTATACCACTTTTAAATATCAACTCTCGTTTGCGCTTAAATCACAAATTAGAAAACTGAAATAGTACAGCGCCAACGACTGACCTGAGTGTACGTCTCCGTATATTCCAAAAATATTATGTATTTATAATATATCTAACAATGGGGGCTGCTCCATTCGATGGTGTGGGAAAAACAGCAAAACATGTAATTACAAAACAAACGGAATAACATTTCATCGACAATGAAATATTAAATAATTGCAATTTTCGTCCATTATTGCAAAGCTCAAGGTAAACTGGTCTGTTTGAAGTGAAACAATTAACGACACCCGTCAATTGTTTCGAATTCGGGCTGGCCAATTGGAGCTCAGTAGTCACCGTAATGATTTGGCAGAATAGTTTTCAAACAAATTAAATGACATTTCGTCTCCTATTTCTGGTTCTATACTCGATGTTTATAATAAGTGGTTTATTTATTTTACCTGGGAGGCATTCACGTCTCATGTTCCTGCACAGCGGTTTACACTGGTCCACCAGCCATACAATGTCCTCGGTGAGGTTGCGAGCTTTCAACGCCGTGCTCACCATCACCAGGACACGCTTGTGGTAGTTGTTTAGGTAGTTCAGCTGGGGACAATCACAGAACTAAATACAGTAGAAATGTTTAGTATGCGTAGCACGTGGGCCAACAGTACGCGGAGTTCCACATATTTGAGCTTAGTTCACCATTTTCACTTTGTACTCTGTAGTCGTGTCAATTACTTCAAAAACCTCGAAAGTCGGAAAATGCCTTATTTTGCCACTTAGGAGTGCAAAAATATCGCCTGTAATATTATCCATGACGGTGTTTTATATCATGGTTAAGTATTATTCTATTGAATTTTAATAAACTTTCCATTTTTGTTCATCGCAATGGATTTTTTGTTATAAGAAACGAAAGTAAGCCTTATACCGCCGAAATGGGGTCGACTTTTTTTGGAGTTAGTTATATATTTTTTTATTAATGGTAATTTAATGATCACCAGGCTTGATCAGCAAATGTGGATCAAGCTTTTTTTTCATATGAAATATTCTGATGTTCATAATAAATATTCTGAAAAAAAAAAACCTATTATTTCACCCATCCGCGTCCGCATCTGCAGATTTCATCGTAACCTACATCCGCAGCATCTCAAGTATGTACGAGTGAACGTGGTACAAAAATGAAAATTCTGCAATAAAATAATATTTCATTTCATCTTAAAGTAATGTACCTCAAAGTTGTCGAGGAGACTAACATCAATGCACTCCTTTTGATGAGGCACAAGTGTGATAGTGTTGAATCCGAGAACTCCGCGGCCATCGAAGTCGCCTATCAGATTTGCCGCCTGAAATGATAACCATAAGTAGAGCTACTGGATTCTCTATTCAAATTTCAGTACCAGCAATAGAGCACCTTGTGAATGGGTTCGTCCAGGGAAGTGCTGCCACCTGACCTATGTCTACCGCCAGGCAGTAATGTGAGCATTACTGCGTTCCGGTTTGAAAAGGTAAGATTACAGGCACACTTGTCAACTTAAGTCTCAGGGTGACGGATGCAATGGCAGTGCGCCTCAGATTTTTGCGATTTAAAGCTCTGAGTGGCACTGCAACTGCTTCAGCCTTCAAGGCAAATCAAGTCGTTAATAGGTTCGCACTAGTACGAAAAAGTATCACTTTCCGTACATTGTAGAAAGTATATAAATTAATAGTTATATCTATAGTATTTAGATATAATTTTTTTATGGATCAGTGGTTGACGGAATAGTGTTCCAATCAGTAGATAAAATGTCTACCATATAGATGCAAAAATTACATAGAGTGATTAAAATCAAATACAATTTAATTACTTTATTCCGGGAATTGTTTTACAGTATCTTACAGGCGAATATAAAAGTTTCCAAAGCCGGCCACCGGACACCCACGTTGCGTCACACGTCGCAGACAATACGTGTACATAATAATTAGTAATTGGTGTTTTAATATTATTATGTATGTTAGTCTATATGTATATATTTATGGGTCTTTTGTAATCTGAATACAAATAATCTCAGTACAGAGTACTTATTTTAGAGTACGCATTTGGGAAGATTGTTATGTTTTTATCTACACACATATCATAAACCCTCTATCATGTGTTCAAAAACCGCAAATTACGACCAGCATAAAGATAAACTTTTTTGTTAGAACAAATTTCTTATTTGTGAAAATATTATTATTGCTTCGTAATAACATCGAATTAGATTTTATTATGACATTGAAATTTCGAACATATCTGAAAAACAAAACAATTTCATTAGACCTCAATTTTAATAATAGTGGAGAATAAGTTTTATTCGAAATGAAATGTCAACAGCTAACAATTTTTACAAATTTCACACGTTACTTGATCGTACGATTTGATACTTGGGGCTGACTCCAGTTTGTCTATGAATTAAGTAAAAATTACAGTTGCGTGTGATACGCGAGAAAAGTTTTTATTTGCCGTTATTTCGCCAGTCGTAATATGCGGTTCTTGAACACATGATAGAGAGCTTATAATATGTGTATAGATAAAGCAGTGTACGTAACTATACATAATTAGGCATTAAAACACTCGTATGATGTTTTTATGAAACATAAACCCCCACTCGTATTTTAATGCCTTTCGTAATGTGCTAGTCACATAAACTACTATTAAGCAGACAAACCGACCCCTCCTACGTATAGGATCGTATGTCGAAATTGCCAAGTTTACAGGGGAGTATTTTAAAGTTCTGAATTCACTCGTTACTCACATAGAGTGATCATCTAATAGATCATCTAACCGATATCTAGAATTTAATAATGTTCTATGTGATTAACGAGCTTTGCCGAATAAAACTGAGAAATGCTAAAGTCACGTATTATGCTTATTTCAGTGAATTCAGAAGTTTAAAACGCTCCCCTGTAAACTTGGCAACTTCGACATACGATACTTTACGTAAGAGGGGTCGAAACTGCAGTGCCCTGCAGGGTTACAGGTAAGAAGATTTATAATACCCATGTGATGCAATTAATAAATATGAACATGAAAATTATTTTTGGAAATCCGGACTTTTGAAAACTATACAACAACTATTTGGAGGTTTTAACTATTCCATATCACTTATTTATGTACTCATTTGGTATAGCCTATTCCGACCACTGGTTATGGTGAACGCCGTCGACAATACAATCGCCAGGTAAAATATGATACAACTTTTGTTTTTACCTTAGGGTGGTCCGACTTCTTGGTGATGGCTATCGTCTCCACCAGATCCTCGTGTCGGATGCCGAATTCCCCGACTTTATAGTACCCCGGCTCTGATATAACAAACCATATTTTAAAACTAATCTTAAACCACATCAGCAAAATTACTTATTATGCATGTATTGGCTAAAAATTAAGAAAGCATACAATTCACCGATACAGGTCCCTACCCTTTGATTAAATAACTTAACCCTACCCATAAAATCATAATTATGAGGCCTTATATGACACACGACCTTTTCGCAATTTATTCATTTCACTGATAACCCCTAGGTAAAGTAACTATAACGATCCAAGCTCAGCCTTTATTTATAAATAACCTATTCATTAAGGCGCCATATAAGACGACTGACCTTTTCATAATTTGGGCCATGTAGATTACAATTCCCGGGCCAGGTGAAATTTGTGTTTATGTAAGTGTGTCCATGGCACCCGCGACATAGGGTTTCCCTAGTGCAGGGCTATGAGTAAATACGTTATTATTACTATTATTATATCACGTTGTTAAGCTTAGCCACTACTTATAAACAAATTGTTCATTAAGGGGCCATATCAGAACGATCTCCGCTTTTCCGTCCTTTTCGCTAATTACCTATTCGCTCTTAGTAAAGCAACCATGTCGGCCCAAGCGTAACCACTATTTTATATACATAGGGCGCACTATAAGTTTCCAGAACTGGCCACTTACATAAACAATATTTAAAATGTAATTATACATATAATTTGAAAATGGAACTCTTTGGCTGTAGAATACAGTTTGTGTCATCTGACTGTCACTTGTTTTTACATTGTGGCGTCGTTTTAGAAATTGGTTGTCTACATCACCATGTATTTAACTCGGGAAAATTTTCGTAGCATGATTTTCTACGATTTTAAGTGTAATTTAACAGCTCAGCGGAGCTTCGTTCGGCTTCAAATTGTTTTTGGCGATGAAGCACCATGCAAGACGATTATTTATAGCTGGTTTCCAGTCAAACGCGATCGAACACAAACAATTGGGTGTGAAAAAGCTGTGCTCTCGGTGGATCCCATACAATTTCACTGAGGCTCAAAAAAAACGGATCGCGTCACTCGGTGCAATGGCATACTTACTTACTTTACTTATTTTAGATTCAACGAAGGGGCATCAAATTTGGTGTGGGACATAGTAACAGGTGACGAAACATGGATTTATAGTTATAAACTCAAAACAAAGCAGCAATCGAGCGTATGGGTCTTTCAAGATGAGCCTAAACCAACCACCACCAAAGTGGCACGCGTGCAAGAAGTCTCTAAGCGGATGATTGCTTCTTTTTTTAATAAAACTGGATACGTGGCTATTGTTGCTTTGGAGAATCATTGTATCGTGAATAGTGATTGCTACACGACCATTTGTTGCCAGAAGTTATTGACAAACTCCGTAAAAATAACCGTAAACGCCGTATTATCTTGCACCACGATAATGTCAGTTCTCACACGGCCAGACAGACAAATTAATTTTTGAAGGTGAACAACGTTGACCTTATGAGCCATCCCGCGTACAGTCCCGACCTGGCTTCTTGTGACTTTTATTTATTTCCAAAAATTTAGAACCAGTTACGCGGTCAACTATTTTCATCACCTGAAGAGACTGTCGAAGAGTAAGAAAAATATGTTTCAGAGACTGTCACGGAGGAGTGGCATAAATGTTTTCAAAATTGGTTCATTCGCATGAAAAAGTGCATTAACGCTAACGAAGAATATTTTGAGAAAATAAATTCATTTCAGACCATTTATACTATTTTTTTCTTATTCATTCCGGAAACTTATAGTGCGGCCCACGTACAGCCTATATAGAACATAGCCTATTAGTAAATGCCATAAGGAACCTATAAAAAACGTACCCTGTTCATAAAACGACTACACGAGCCCTAACATATTCTAAACAGGTCATATAACGTTACCCCCTACTCACCATTGCTAAGAATCTGTCCAGGTTTAAGACCGGGGTCGTGTGGATAAGGCCTCCAAGACACGCCCGCGGGCCCCTCGTGCACGTTAAGCATGTGTCCCACGCCGTGACCCGTGCCGTGTGCGTAGTCAAGGCCAACATCCCAGAGGGCGCGACGTGCGAAGCTATCTAGGACGTTGCCCTGGTATAAAAACAATATAAATAAATCAGTACAGAATACTAAAAAAAGTACCTCAAAAGTTAACCGGTTTAAGTCGAGCTTTGCTATAAAGGTCGAAAATTGAAAAATTACATATTTAATTTTTATTGAATTGATATTCAATTATTTTTTGTGATTACTCCACTAGTTTGTTATAACTATTAATATAAAGATCAAACACTCAGAAAAAATTCCTTCAATACATATTTAATATTTAATTACCGATGAAATGTGATTTCGTTTGTTTTGTAACTACATGTTTTGCTGTTTTTCCCGCACCGAATGGAACAGCCCTCCATTGTTAGATATATTATATTTATTACAATAAATACAGAATATTTTTGGAATATACGGAGACGTACACACAGGTTAATTGCTGGCGCTGTACATTTCAGCTTTCTAATTTGTGATTTCAGTGTAAACGAGAGTCGATATTTAAAAGTGATATAAGACCCATTTGCCTGATGGGCTGCCAAGGATGGATGGCCCTTATTTCGAGTCTATTTCAGGTTATATACTCGATGCCATGGGACTTGTAAAGGGCTCAAAAGGGTTTGAAAAACAAATATATCCGAAAAATAGTTTCATTTCTTAGGTGTAACAATAGCGAGAACCTAACTCGAAATGATGCATCAATTCAAGACATTTTGCATACATTACCTACTACTAAGCTGAAGAAAACATTTCTTAGGCAAGCCGATGGTGGAGCCATGGTTGTGGCGATCGAAAAGACCTCCACGAACTGACTTCTTCTTTAGCGATTCTCTATACAACAAATCTAACGTTTTGGGGTCTAATTTAACAATATACTAACAATTTCGCAGGACCTAATTACTAACATTATAAGCAACAACAACTTTTATTCCATGACATTTACTTTCGACCAATAATAAAAATATTTAAATAGATCGCTCCAAACAATCATAACTCTGTGCAAACAAAACGCAGGAGCGCGGGTTGAATAAGTTCAACCCGCGCTCCTGCGTTTTTTTTCTATTTTCTATCTGGTAGTAACGTAGTAAGCTACGTTACTACCAGATACAGATCTAAATACTGTCGTATAATACAACAAAAACTTAGTAAAAGAGAAGGGTCAAATATGACCAAGTCCCGGTGCAAAAGAAACAATTCTTTATAGTTTTTGTTTTCGATATCAGTGGCTCATTGTCTTTTGTTTTTGCTCAGGCGCACAGAGCTAGGTAATGTATGTTCATGTACAAATAAAAGTCTTCAACAGTTTTTGTTGTCTATTCTTCAAAAACTAAGTATAATTTGACCAATAAAGGTAGGAAAAATATAGTAAAATGAAGAAAACAGAATTAAAAAAACAATACGTAGATATGTTTTTCGTTTTACATTATCTTCTTAAAATTAATAATCTACGTCTAATAATACACCCTATGCGGGTAGGTCGAATACATATATGGTATCTAGTCCACCCAGGACTATCAGGCGTCACATAATAATAATAACCTTGTCTCAAACTAGGGAATTCCCTGTACTATGACTGACTACCAGAGCAGCGGAATTAATCCGGGGAAATACCCGGTACATCCAGACCAGAACCAGTTTAGAAAAGTTCGTTTCCAAATTGGTCCTACCGGGAATTAAATATGGTACCTCCTTATCTAGCATTCGTAGTCAGTGGTTCCAGATTAGGCGATTTTTCGCCATTTAGGCTACTACGAGGGGTCGTGCGGCGACTAAAAAAGTGACCGGTGACTCGGCGATATTCAGGATATGTTTGAAATAGGAAAAGGCGATTTTAGGCTACTTAATAAAATGTCTGGGGAATTGCAAACTTGATTGATTGGGGATTTTGTGGGGAATGGAGTTGTAAAACAACTCATTTGGGGGTTTGTTTATTTCTACGTGTGGGGAATTAGGGAAATAAGAGAGTTCTTACTCCCCAATTTACGACAGCAAGCAGAATTATAGAATTGTTTTCCTTGATTTTTAGGGATTTTATGGCTTGGGCGAATATCGGCTACTTAACACAAATAAATTGGCGAATTAACTTCGCCAGTCTGGCAACACTGCCCATAGTGATAATCTGTGGGCCAGCGAGGTCGCCATTTTATTTATAAATTATTGACTCATATATACCTATTTAAACATAGCCTGGCTGTAAACATTACTATTTTGTGTAAAAGAATGAATTACTGACACTCGCAGTGTACCGTAATTATTTCATTTAGAATTACAGGTTCCTTTGATAACACGAAGGCAATATGTCATGCTTGATAGTCCTGGTTGGACTAAATACCACATATACATATGTATGTATTCGACCACCCCGCTCAGGGTGTGTTATTCGACATAGATAATAATTTTAAGAGTATAATGTAATAAAAAAAAATCATATCTAACTATTGCTTTTTTATTTCTGTTTTCGATTATTATTATATCGAAAACAAAAACTGTACAGAATTTTCTTACCTAATATAAGCAAAATTCTGGGATAGGTTTCTTTTGCGCCGTTAATTTTCTATGGGAAATATTTAAGTGCATATCAGAAAACTTAATATATTTAAAATTATGTTCATTATTCAAATAACTTTCACATTCAAAAAAATATTTCACTACAAATAAAACAACCGTCTAACAAAACTAGTATCAAACATACGTACAACGAAAGTGTTCATTTATTAACAAAAACATAATATATTTTTACAGATTACTGAAAATAATCGGGACTTTTTATCTCTTTCGCATACAACCTTGAGTCTTGTACAATTTGTCTGAATAAAGAACAAGCTAGAACGCTGTGCAAATGAAACTGCCCTCATTTTTTCAAAAACTATAAATGCAAACAGTCATGTTGTAGGGCTCGCGATCCGGCTCATGTATGTGGTACCACCAGCAGACGCCAAAAATGTTCTAATCGGACAGAAAAGGAAGCGTGGACGTCCTGCGAAAGCAAGACCCGTATTAATAATTCAATAAAAGTTTTTTTTATTAACCTATTATGTCCCACTGCCGGGCAAAGATTATTTAATAAGTTATTTTAATTTTTTTAAATTATTTTCTGCTTTATTTATTTTAAGCTTTGGAGCTGATTTTCTTGTAAACAATTCATAATATTGGAACCAAATTGAACCTTTACTTGCCAATACAAAAAAAAATACTTTGAGGGGTCGCGCGGCGACTAAAAAAGCGACTCGGCGATATTTAGACTATGTTTGGAATAGGAAAAGGCGATTTTAGTCTACTTAATAAAATGTCTGGGGAATTACAAATTTTATAGGGAATTTTGTGGGGAACGGAGTTGTAAAATAACTCATTTAGGGGTTTGAGTATTTCTACTTGTGGGGAATTGGGGAAATAAGAGAGTTCATATTCCCCAATGTCCGGCAGAATTATTGAATTGTTTTCCTTGATTTTTAGGGATTTTATGACTTGGGCGAATATCGGCTACTTAACACATATAAATTGGCGAATTAACTTCGCAAAAGTCTGGCAACACTGTATGCATTTACCTTGTATCGCAGAAATATTAGATATGTAATTTAGATATTAGATATGCATTGCGATAAAATGTTATGCATTAATTTTAGTATATAATGCTAAATTGATTTTCTTTTGATGTACATATTTTGATATGCGTCAATACTTTTGTTGGAGAAGTGGCATATTTGGTTGTGAAAAAACTTGCTTTTTTGGTGAACGGTTAAATACTAAAGATTTTCTATGAGCAGCGACCCTTCTCCTTTATTATGTTTTGAAAAAAGTCATGGAATAAATGTTGTTTATGATTTTAGTAATATAGTCCTACGAGGTTGTTAGCATTTTATAAGATCCCTTTATAATATGGCTGGAATACCGCTGGATGTTACACTTACACCCTGTAAAAAGTAAATAATTGAATATACCTTACCTTGACTCCCTGGGGAAACAGCGAGGTAGCGAGCATAATCTGACCCTTGAGCACCCTTGTAAACGCAATCTTTTGCTCTTTTGTCGGGTTGCCACCCATATGGCGTGTGCGAGTAATATCTGTTGTTCCATCGCTGTTGGAAAAAAGTTGTTTTTTGTTAAATGGGGATATTTCATTCTCCGTGTTCAGGTGGCTTGTACATACTGTAGAGTAATTTTTCCAAAACATTTCCTGGATATTTTTACGGAAAAAATCCCGGAAAATTGGAAAAATATAATTTCGAAGGCTCGTATTATGTTCTACGTTTAGAAATATCTTTTGCAGTTTAATTCAACGTAAATTATAAAAAAAATACTTGTATAACTAAAAGCCACCTAGAGATGATTCAAAATTATTTTACAAGACCAAACAGGACCTTTGTAGTTTCAAAAATGCATAAAAGTTTTTGATCAATCAAACATTGTTTAAGCTTAGGGCATTTATTACTGAAAATACGTGGTGGCTCGAATTATGTGTCCGGAAGTGTATATTAATATAATATAATATAATAACTCAGGTTATCTATTACACCATTTTAATAGCCCTTTGGGACTTGCCACTTTTGTGTCTCAAGAAGATGTGCGTAGTGGCGGCTCCCCTCAGAACTTTGCGATTTAATGCTTTGAATGGTACTTGATATAATAATAATTCCTAGCTTTTTATTTAAAAAACAGACCTCCAACATTTTATATGCCCGTAAAAATATACGTACTTTAAAAAAAAAGAAGATATCCATTATATTAACCTTAGAGCTAAGTCCAAACTCATGGTACCACGATTTGGTTTAACCAAGGTAAATAAAATAACTCTTTTATGAGGAACTGTATACGTTTTTATACAGCTTATATTATTTTTATTTAATTTTTTTCCCCATCAAGTTTGATGCTGTCCGAGACCCTTGTTCACTTATATTTATTGGTTTTGTTTGTATTACTTTTTTCTTTTCTTTTTTTTTTAATTTAAGTTGCTGTTTTTTTTCTATATAATTTACATTTTACGTTGTCTTTGCAAGCTGTGTTCACTCATAAGTAGTTGCGCAATTTAGATAAGAACTTTGAATTTATAGTATGTTACATTGTAATAACTGTAAATAAAAAAAAATCATTACCTAATTTTAAAACCTACATTTAAAGTATTTCGGTTGAAATAAGTCATATTACAAAATTGAAGACGACGTGTTAGGTAAAGATGTATGGAAAGACGACATGGCTCTAGATTCCACACAAATATGATTTAAAGTGTATTCCATTGCATTTGAGTTTATTTGAAAAGAGCAATCCCTGAAGTTGCTTACTCGTTCTTCTCAAGGACGTCAGCATAAAAAACGGGCACTAAATTAAGTGACGTTTTCAAGTGTAAATTTATTTTACCTATGGAATTAACGATTCTTTGACTTTGACTGTGACCAAAAAAGTTAGCTTATCCGTTTCTGTTGTATTTTATTTTAATTTGGATGACATCATCGAGTATATAACCAGAAATAGAGACGAAATAACGGCCATCCATCCCTGGCAAATGGGCCTCGTCGGGCAAATGGGCCTTATATCACTTTTTAATATCAACTCTCGTTTGCGCTGAAATCACAAATTAGAAAGCTGAAATAGTACAGCGCCAACAACTGACCTGTGCGTACGTCTCCATATATTCCAAAAATACTCTGTATTTATTGTAATAAAGATAATATCTCTAACAACGGGGACTGTTCCACTCGGTGGTGTGGGAAAAACAGCAAAATATCTAAATACGAATTACGAATTCGAATTCGGGCTGGCCGATCGGAACGCATTTGTCACCGTAATGATTTGGCAAAATAGTTTTCAAACAAATTAAATGACATTTCGTGTCTATTTCTGGTTATATACTCGATGGATTAAATCTATGTGCCAAGTTTTATTGTAATTGGTTAACGGAAAATGCTTAAAATCCAATAAACCGAATTCAACCCCTAATTTAAATATAATTCAAAAATATAAGTTAATTAGAATATTAACAATTCATTATATAATATTATTGTCATTACTTTTCATATCAAATATCATTCTCCATCAAGGCTCGTTATAAGTTGATAACAATTATACACAATTACGTCAATGCGGTAAAAATTAGAATAAAATAGAAAATACTCAATATAGTTACAATTTTAAGTCCGTAAATTCATTTTGCGGCGCCTAAATGTTTCGTAAGAAGGTTCAAGTCTGAAAGTAGCGGGTAAACGCTTATAGTAAGTAGGTCCGATGACACGCGGGTTTTTCTCTGCAAGTGCCATGCGTCGGGGGACTGTTCTCAAATGACCGGTATGGCGCAGTGGGATGTCAGAAACATTTACAGTACCAAATGAAGAAAGATCAATTTTAACGTACATTATAATTTCCTATATGTAGACTAAATAGTTAGTCATTGTGCGTCGCGCTACAAAGAGATTTCTTCAGGAATGTCCGTGTTTTACCCCAAACAAAACGCGTACCGCACGTTTTTCAATTAGCATGACTCATAAGTAACACCATATGAGTGAACCGTACGCCATCAGCGAGTGGGAATGTGCAAAATAGACCTGTCTTAATGCAGAGTCAAGAATGAGCATTTTCAGTTTATGCAACGCAAAGACTGCACCACTCAGTCTATCACACGGTCTGTCAACATGGCACTTCCAGTTAAGGTTCGAGTCCAGAGTGAAGCTAAGGAACCTACTCTCAATGCGTATCGGCGTCGGATTGCTTGCTACACACGGAGGAACTGTGAGGCTTCGCCGCGAGAAAACCATGATGTTGGATTACTGTGATATTCAGCAGCAACCTATTCGATGAAAACCACCTTTGGAGCTGCTCACACCCTTCATTGATTCTCTCTCCCAGGTCATTTTTATATATGTATAATAAGTAGAAATAGCGTGTTTCCTAAGACAGACCCTTGGGAATTCTTAAATTCAGACTACCAGGAACGGACTCCAGTATTTTACCGTTCGAGGATAATGTTACCACTTCCTCCCGATCCGATAAGAATGAGGTGAGAAGTTAGTGGCTCGTACCCTGTATTCCATAATGATATAACTTATCCAACAGCAGTTCATGATTAATTACATCAAAAACTTTGGACAAGTCACAAAATATGCCCGCCATTTTATACTTCTCAACCAAACCGGAAACTAAGCAGTCAAATATTTTATGTGCCGCGGTAATTGTAGACATCTTCTGCCGATATGCAAATTGCCTGTCCGTCAGCAATTCATTGTCCTCAAGGTGGCCCATTATGTGGGAAGATAGGATAGATTCCAGAATTTCTTAATTTCTGATTCCTACTATATCTAGTAGGAACAAACGTTATTGGTCTGTCATTGTTCACACCACACTTGTCACCCTTCCCCTTGAAGACAGGACACACCCTGGTACTCTTAAGCACATCCGGGTACACACCGGTGTCAAAGATAATATTAAATAAGACTACTAAAATGTCTGAGTAGCAAACTATAAAAGAACAAAAAAAAAATCAGTTAAAAGATTAAGCGTGCGTGCTTGTGTGTGTGTAACATATCGCAACAACCCCAGACATCAAACCGTAGGTTACATTCATTGACTTACAATTATATGGACGTCGGGTCTGCGCTAAAAAGTGTCCGAACTTATAGGGCGTTAAAATCTTATACAGAGCGTCATTCACGCTTTAGTCTTCGTTTGTTCGACTGACAGCGAAGCAAGCAAAATTAGACAGTAATGCGATGACATTACAATTGAAATTCAACGTTTTAGCTTTTTCATATTCCTTTACATGTCACTACGTTTACATAGATTGACTTGGGAAATTTTTTTTCGTGGTTTGTGTATTAGACCCGTCGTCCATTTATTTGTAAGTCAATGGTGACATTAGAAGGTCCTCAGTCTTATCGTAGTTGACTGTCTGAAGCCATCCAGAAACAACCCTTTTGGATAGAAGGAAACATTATGATACTCACTAGTACTGTCCGCCGGAGTCCAATAAATACATATGGTCCTTTTTAATCAGTTTCTGTTCACCTTTTTCGCTAGGGGTGTAATGTATGATGGCACCATTTTCACCAGCAGCTGATATCGTTTCAAATGATGGCCCCATGAAACCGCTCTCTTGACTAGAAAAATAAAGTACCAATTAACTAAGACCATAGGTCAATAACTCGTGAGGACTGCTAGTATCTCCATAATACAGATGTGCCCAGTCACACGAGGATAAAGTTTTCGCGCGGCCGTCGTACGGCGACCGCCCAGTTTCCACGCCTCGTGTACATTAAATGGGAATCTGAATTCTATTTACTAGGCAACAACATTTAAATTCCTCTAGATAATAATGAATAAATACATCCACGCGGCCGCCGCGTACACCAAATTCAAGCCAGATGTGCCCGCGTGGCCGGGACGCTCATTTAAGTTAAAACTAAAAACTTACTAAAAATATACACAACCACAAATTACACCCAAACTCACGAGAGAAATAAATGTAAGCCATACAAACATTTTTTCCGGCCCGGGAATCGAACCTGGGACCTCTGCGTGGCAGTCCGGCATGGTAACCATTCGGCCACGGAGGCAGTTAAATCGGAGGAGGTATTTTGTAATGATTACAACATTACAACACTCAGAAATAATTCCTTCGATCCGTCGACGTCTTCTAGCATACCGTGCCAGACGCTATACCAACTAAGCCACGGAACGAACCAGTGGACCTCACGAAGTTTTCTATGTGCTTTTTTGTCGTATCTTTGTATTTGGTTTTTCAACGACTTTTTAGCCGTAGCGCCATCTATGGGAAATCTATGAAAGTATTTCGTCATCACGAAAGTCGTTTAACCAAGATAAACGACTCTTTTATGGGGAACTGTATACGTTTTTACAATAAGATTCCGGAGCTTAAAAATACATATTACAAAATTGAAGACTACGTGTTATATAAAGATGTGTGGAAAGCCGACATGGCTCCAGATTCCACACAAATTTGATTCAAAGTGTATTCCATAGCATTTACGCTCAATTGAAAAGAGCTATAAACTCTAGGGTTTCTTGCTCGTTCTTCTCAGGGAAGTCAGCGTAGTGAACGAGCAATAGCTTATTTTTTTATATAATAGCTTAATTAGCAAATGTGACGTTTTCAAGTGTAAATTTATTTTACCTATGGAATAAATGATTCTTTAACTTTGACTTTGACTTTGATTGTTATTATTTTTTTTAATTTGTTTTGTAGTTTTTTAGTAACTTATTAACGTAATAATTGATTCTTTTTAATTTTGTTTATTATTTATTCTTTAATTCTTTTCTCTAAATGAATTTACTCTTCGTTACTAATCTCAATGCGATATTTAAATCGATATTTTTTTCATTCGATTTTAAATAACTACACCACTAGAAACTTCAAATCTCAAACGTCACCTAGCGATGGGTGATTGTTACAAAAAAAAATACAATAAATCGATCGTGGCACTATCCTGTCTGTATTCGATTTTCGACTTAGTAATAATCGAATACAGATACTAATTTAGTAATTAATATTCTTTCGGCGTTAAAAAAAAGGATCCTCTACGCTATGGTTTGAAATGTAAAGAAATCGTTCCTATTACTTATACAATAAGCGATAATATAATTTGATTCTCAAAGAAAAAGTGATCTATTGCAAATGTGCACTTTAAAAAAAAACATTCCGTCATGTTCCGTCTATATTAGTTGATCTACGGATAAATATTAAACATACTAAATTAATAATTGGTATAAAAAAATGATGGCATTTAAAACCAGTAGTATATCTTTTGATATTGATCTCCTAACAAATTATGGTTGCCTGGTTGTGCTCTCCATTCAGTAGGTTAGGTTAATATATTAAAAAGTAGCACGAGCCGAACGAGCGAAGCGAGCATGACGCGGCAGCGGCCGGCAAGTGCCAGAAACCAATTTGCTTACGTTTCCGAACATGTTTTCAGGTCAAATTATATTATAATTAATATAAAATTAGTTTATAAGTATAATCAACATTGACTTGGTTTTAAAAATAAGTACTACATTTGATTTGTAATGCTCATGTGACTCAATTTTGTGGCCCAACATAAAACTATCAAAGTTAATATATACAAATCAAACATTTTTTGAGGAGCTTAGAACAGATTAAACTATCGATTAATTTGATTTATTTTATGTCTCAGAGAAAGAGGATCAATCATTAATAAATGACCATTTAGATTTTTTTTGCATGTGCAAATTTAAAATGATCATTTAAATACATGCCATTTAATAACAATGAATACTACTACTACTACGATATTTGTTCAGCAATCAAAAGTTAGTAACTAATTTATTTTGTTTAAAATGTTAGTAAATTTGTATTAAGTATTCCTTGTTTAAACAAAATATTGTCTGTGTAATCATAGAAGATTATGTGTGTATAAATGTTATGAACAGTTGCAACACTCAAACAAACCTATTAGGTTTAAGAGTGCCAAGTACCTAAATACCAAATATTGTATTATAAGTAAATAAAATAAATAAATAAAATAAATAGATTATTTGGTAACGGGCTGGTATCTGCAACTCGACGTCAAAGCGTCTATTTAATCTAGTAGATTATTATGATTATGAAATACAAAGATCGAACACACAGAAAAATTTTCGTCGACCCGGTGGGACTTGAATACCACGTCCAAGCTGCACTGTAGCATCGTTCTAACTCCTATGTGTTTTTGTTATAGATCTTTGTACAGACTTTTCGGCATTTGTCACCACTAGTGACATCTAGTGAGAGATTTTTGAATAACCTTCTCACCGCAGCCGATACCTTTAAAGGTATGACAACTGACGCAGATGTTGCTTTCCGATCGAATGTATGTATTGAGATACTATACTTAACTTTAAATGGAGTAATTTCACAAAAATAATATCATGGTATTAGAAAATCGTCATATTCTTAACAATACCTTCTATAGTGAAGCAATTGTTTTGCGGCCTGTATCTCAGTGACATTCTTCCCGCTATCGATTTCATTGTGCAGCCAACGAAATAGACGGACCACCGCAACAGCGTCTTTTATATGACACTCTCGGAAACCCTGTGGAAATTTTAACTGAATTAGAACAAAAATTTATTTATTATGATACCATGTGAAGGGACGAATATGTGGTGTGCCTAGTGATAAGCGAGACATAATTAGAGACCCCCATACCAGCGTCTTTCACGTCACGTCTGACACGCCGACCGCGCAGCGCCGATGCAACGTAGTATCCTTAATTAATTTGTGGACGCAACGCCAGCACTGTGCGACTGCTGAATAGTGCTGAACGTAGGGTATACGCCGCACTGCCGTCGCCTCGTCACGGTCGCGCGGACATAGTGTTGACTGACGCTCGAAAGACGCTAGTATCTTACAGTGCGAATTCGGCTTCCCGTATAATCCCGTGTGCAGCGCGACATACTGTTACGTACTGCCTCGGTTCAGCGTTAGGCATGTAGTTTAAAATCTAACTATACAATACAAAATTTATTTATTCTTAATATACAACTCATTAGTAAATTATAATTAAATTTAAAATACAGTGAATAGCGACATCTCTCGCCAGGACTGGTAGCTGTAAAGGTAATAACTTTGTGATAAATCTTTCATAGATTTCTCATAGATGGCGCTTTTTAACGACTAAAAAGTCGTTAAAAAACCAAAGACTCGACGCAAGCACATAGAAAAATTCGTGAGCTCCGCTGTTCCGTGGCTTAGTTGGTATAGCGTCTGCCACGGTAAGCTAGAAGGCGTCGGTTCGAATCCGGCCGGATCGAAGGAACATTTTCGGAGTGTTCGATCTTTGTATTAATAATTATAACAAACTAGTGGAGTCATTTCACAAAAAAGAATTGAATATCAATTAAATAAAAAATTAAAATTATAATTAAATACCAAAATAAATAATACTAGGTTTAACAGGGCACCAAGTCTCCTAATGTTAAATCATCTCAGTTGTATGCCGATAAAGTGCCAATGGCAGGATTTTGTACGTTTGTACGTAGCTAGCCATCGAGCTACCACTCAATCGACATTGCATTATTTTGGTGTTCAGCTCTTCAATGGCACATTGATGGCGTAGTGTACTAATACACTTCCAGACACATAGTTCGAGCCACCACGCGTTTTCAGTATTAAGTGCCCTAAGCAGAGAATAAAGAATAAGAGAAAGGACACTCTCCGCCCATCCCTAGTTTTAGATACCGCATCACGCCCTGCACATTGCCGGTCACATTGACTGAACGACAACAAGGCTGCCGGCGAGCCGTTTTCGCGCGAAGGCGGCTTTGATATTTGAATATAGTTTTCATTTATTCATTACGAAACTTGTACGTCAATAGAAAACATAATTTTACGTTACTATTTATAATGGTCGTGAATTGTGCTGTGTACGGCTGTTTATCATCATTTTCCGAAAGATGAAACGAAGTAAGTAAAAAACTTATATCTGAGACTCATTCAGTTATTGTTTTCATCATTTATTTACTGCAGAGTAATATATGTATGTATAAAAAAATATAGATTTATTGCATCAATATAATGAGACGCCACGACTTCGCGAATTTTCTATTCGTGTTGCCTAACTAAACTTGGACAAGCAATATCAAATACCTTGGTTACCTTAAAAGTATACTTGTCCGAAATATAACATTTGAAGTGATTTTAATATATTTTTTAAATAAATCTTCAATATTACTCTAGTAAGTGAATTAATGAAAAATATAATAATATGTCGATATAAATACTAATGGACATGTATAATTGTTAGGATTCTATTAATACAATCAAACAAAACAGATTCGCGTTAGAATTTTCGCTATGTTGCCGCTCAGACCACGTAACGTAATAGTGCGAGAAAGTGTGCGTACACACTGTAGTAGTAGTAGATAAATAATTTCGACTGTTGCATGGAGTGTCCGGGGTGTGCCCTAAGCTTAAACAATGTTTGATTGGTCAAAAACTATTATGCAATTTTGAAAATAGCATACTAAACGTCTTTTCCATAAATCCTTGTTGGGAATTTGGATTTGCAAAACCGAAGGGAACACTTTTTCTTCGATTATAATACTATTTTTGCATTCTAGCCCTTTACGATAAAAATGCTAGGTGGCTGGCATGATTTGTCCAGGTATATTATATAATTTTAATTTGTAGACTAAATTGGTGACTAAACGAGATAAAAATATGATAAGATATGCGTAGCAATTTCCATGTTAGTTTTAGTAAGGCAACATCGACCGTTAGTGATGACCTAGATGATTACTGAACTAGATTTTAAGAGAATAGCAAGTACTATATATAAGTATAAATAATATAAGTTCAGTGTAGGCTTTTAGAATGAAGTCCCTTTACATCATAGATAATAGGGGTTAAAGTATGAAATTGCCGATTTGTACTGAAAATCTAAATTGTTTATTTTTTAAATTTTTAACAAATTTATTTAATCAAAATAGTTGCCATTATTATCTATACATTGCTGCCATCTAATGGGAAGGTTATTAATGCCTTTGCGATAGAACTCCGACGATCTAGACTGCACAAACTGTGTGAAAGCATTTTGTACTGCCTCCTGGGAAGAAAACTTCTTGT